GTAGAAGGCAGAAAGATATATAAGGCGTGAAGACCAGAAACTAGAAGAATTTGGTTGGTTAAGCTTTCAGGCTTCTAGCAGCAGTTCAGCTGAGATTCATTCTGGATGAGGACTCAGAGGCTTCCGGTCTGAAGAAACAAGACCAGCTGAGGAATTGGCAAGGTGAGGTAGCTGTGGCTTTTTCTGCTTCTCTGATCTTCCAACATTCACCCTAATACCTGGCTCCAGGTTTGTTTTATTAATAAGACTCTTTAAGATTCCTGCTACACCAAAATACTTGTGTCATTGTTACCCAAGGTGATATATTTGCCTGGTAGATTGCTTTTGTAGTTTGTAATGTCAAAGTTAGGAAAGACTGTTGATAACAGACACCACCCCCAGCACCACCCCAGTAACCTGTATAGTTCTTTCTGGCACTTTGATATCTCACCATAGGGAGAAAGCTTCCAACTCAGTTCCAGATTGCTTTCTCTAAACATTTGACCATGGCGTGTGCTATCTTCAGCCATAGGGTCTTATTCTCTATTTCCTTTGTTTCCGTTTTTTAAATAAATTTTTTATTTAGAGATTTTCTATTTATTTTACATACCAACCACAGATTCCCCTGTCCTCCCTCCTCCCGCACCCCAGCATTCCCCCAACCTACCCCCAATTCCCACCTCCTCCAAGGCAAGGTCTCCCATAGGGAGTCAGCAGAGTCTGGTACATTCAGTTGAGGCAGGTCCAAGCCCCTCCTTCCTGCATCAATACTGCACAAAGTGTCTCACCATAGGTACTAGGCTCCAAAAAGCCGGCTCATGCACTAGGGACAGGTCCTGGTCCCACTGCCTGGGGGCCCCTATACAGTTCAAGCTAAACAACTGTCTCACTTATCCAGTGGGCCTAGTCCAGTACCACGGGGGCTCCTCTCTAGCATAAGCTGTCTGCAGTGTTTTTTGATCTTAGCCATTCTGACAGGTGTAAGATGGTATCTCAGAGTCATTTTGATTTGCATTTCCATGATGACTAAGGATGTTGAGCAATTCCTTAAATGTCTTTCAGCCATTTGAGATTCTTCTATTGAGAATTCTCTGTTTAGTTCTATAGCCCATTTTTTAAATTGGAATGTTATGTATTTTGATATCTAGTTTCTTGAGTTCTTTATATATTCTGGAGATCAACCCTCTGTCAGATGTAAGGTTGGTGAAGATCTTTTCCCATTCTCTAGGCTGTCATTTTGTCATGACCACATCCTTTGTGCTACAAAAGCCTTTCAGTTTCAAGAGGTCCTATTTATTAATTGTTGCTTTCAGTGTCTATACTACTGGTGTTATATTTAGGAAGTGATCTCTGCTGCCAATGTATTCAAGACTGCTTCCTACTTTCTCTTCTATCAGGTTCAGAGTAACAGGACTTATGTTGATGTCTTTGATCCACTTGGACTTAAGTTTTGTACATGGTGACAGATATGGATCTATTTGCAATCTTCTACATGTTGACATCCAGTTATGAAAACACCATTTGTTGTAGATGCTCATGGATAGGTAGGATTAACATAGTAAAAATGGCAATCTTAACAAAAGCAATCTACAGATTCAATGCAATCCCCATCAAAATCCCAAAACAATTCTTCACAGACCTGGAAAGAACAATAGTCAACTTCATATGAAAAAACAAAAAACCCAGGATAGCTAAAACAATCCTTTACAATAAAGCAACCTCTGCAAGAATCACTACCCTGACATCAAGCTCTACTATAGAGCTACAGTAATTAAAAAAGCTTGGTACTGGCTTAAAAACCAACATGTGGACCAATGGAATCAAATTGAAGACCCTGACATTAATCCACACATGTATGAACACCTAATTTTTTACAAAGAAGCCAAAATTATTCTCTACTTCTGATGGCCAACATGAATAATAGTCCTTGTTAGAGGACTAACAAGAGCTTGTCCTGTTTGGGTGAGAGCAGGGGAGAAGAGTCTCTGTCTCAAAAGAGGTGGATGGCATGTGTGATAATGACACCTGAGATTGTCCTCCAGCCCCTGGTGTACACACACATAAACACAAACACACATATATCGGTGTATGCATACATACGTGCATTAAAATGTCCCAATAACACATAGTGGAGGAGAACACATCCCCTTTAACAGACAGCACTGAGAAACTGAGATGCTAATTGTACAAGACTGATACTAGACCCCTGTCTCACTCTAGGCAAAACCCAACATAGAATGGAACACACTCCATTCTGGCCCCAACTAATGCCTCTTCTCATATGTAAATCTGAGTTTTGAATTTTTAGATTTGTGTGTTTATCTTGTAATACCTGTAGAGGCCAGGGAGATTAACAGGGACTGATGATGTGGGAAGGCCTTAAAAGACAGGAGACAGTAGAACACATGTCAATAAAAATATTGAGGTAGACTATTGTGGTGGAAATGTTTGCAGGGAGCTAGTAGTAGGGAAGTGGAGAACTATACAGAGTGGAGGGGTGAGTTAATCAAAACTAATGATGTCTTAACAGTTAACTGCAGACTGAGTATTTTCTACACTAGTTGACAAGTATAATAAGAAGAATCTGAATAGAAGTACCCTGCATGGGTAGTGCAGCTTCCAGAAGCTATAGGCAATTAAACAAAATCCTAGTTTGGGGTATGTGATAAAAACCCTATGAGAAGCCCACAGGTCTCCAAAACACACTATTAGCTTTTCTTTTGATTGCCCATCAGACCCAGCTAGTAAGACCCTACTGCCAAAAACATCATATGATTTAGTCATAGGACATAGGAAAAGAAGCCAATAGTGTAACCAGAATTATGTTGCCCATAATTGCCTACCATGCTTATGAAAGCAACACTAATTAAACTCACTGGGATGGACACACACAAACAAACACAGAAAGACACAGACACATACATAGACACACACACACACAATGAACACTGGAGGGACTCTTTGGAGAAAGAAAAAAAGGTTCAGTGGAAGAGAGATCCAAGAGAGTGATTAGGAAATGGTGTGATCAAAACGTATTATTTGCGTATATAAAATCAATAAAATACATCACGAAAGAAGCCTTTAATCCTTGCATGCAAGAGACAGAGTTAGGAAAATCTTTGTGATATTTGGGCCATCCTGGTTTACACAGTGAATTCCAGGCCAGTCAGTGCTTCATAGTGAAACCGTTTTGAAAGAAAAAAATGAAGAATAAAAGGATAAAAATAAAAATGAAGAAAATAAAATATTTTAAATAAACACAATAACATTCAAGGTATTTTCATTAAAAACTTCAAGACAGATTTCTGAAAAGTGAAGATGTAGAACAGTCCAGAAAATGAAGAAGAAAGACAGACAGAGAGAGATGAGGACAGGGGTTTAGAGAGCCAGGCAGATGGAAGGAAATCAGGAGATCACCAGTGTAAGATCACTGCTCCTGCTGACAGCCAGATGTGCACTGGAGTCACCAGCTCACCCTCATTTGTCTGGATCTTAGCCCTTCATCCACATGAGCTCCTGGGAGCAGACAGTCAGCCAGGATTATTGATAGCCACATCTACCCAGGAGCAGACACGCAGTCAAGACTGATGGTCACCACATCTACCCAGGAGCAGTCATTCAGTCAAGACTGATGGTCACCACATCTACCCAGGAGCAGACAGTCAGTCAAGACTGATGGTTACCACATCTACCCAGGACCAGTCAGTCAGTCAGGACTGAATGTCACCACATCTACCCAGGAGCAGACAGTCAGTCAGGACTGAATGTCACTACATCTACCCAGGAGCAGACAGTCAGTCAGGATTGATGGTCAGCACAACTACCCTGGAGAGGACAGTCAAGACTGATGGTCACCACACTCCACTGATGTCTCCTTATTTCTAATATGCTGTTTCTTTTTATACCCATCAGTTCTGGGTTCTAATCTGCTATGAAACACATCACTCCATATACCCTTATCTCAAACCACCTTTAAATAAACCCCACACACAGAGGGAGAGGAAATTACACAGAGATTGACACCCGGGAAACTTCGGAATTGGGCTTTGTGGGCAACACTCAGGGAACTAGGCGGAGAGTACATCACTGTGAATACAGCACCATCATAACTGTGGTGATATTGTGTTCCCCAAAATATTGTGCACCCTAATAAATTTATCTAGGGTTAGTGAACAAACAGCCACTATATAGAGAGGCTAGAAAATGATGGCACTCACGCCTTTAATCCTAGCATTCCAGAGACAGAAATCCCCCTGGATCTCTGTGAGTTCAAGGCCACATTGGAAATAGCCAGGCATGGTGACACACGCCTTTAATCCCAAGAAGTGAGCCTTTAATCCCAGGGAGTGATGGCAAAAACAGAAAGGTATATAAGGCGTGAAGAGCAGGAACTAGAAGCATTTTGGCTGGTTAAGCTTTCAGGCTTCTAGCAGTAGTTCAGCTGAGATTCATTCTGGATGAGGAGTCAGAGGCATCCAGTCTGAGGAAACAGGTCCAGCTGAGGAACTGGCAAGGTGAGGTAGCTGTGGCTTGTTCTGCTTCTCTGATCTCCCAGCATTCACCCCAATACCTGCCCCAGGTTTGTTTTTATTAATAAGAACTTTTAAGATTCATGCTACACATACCCAGAGACATGTGTAAACCTAAGTGCAGATAGCAGAAGAAAGTGGTAAGAACAAACTAATCTTGATCTTTCCATCGAGGCCCGAGCTACCAAAGGACCAGATGGTGTTGAGAGTTACAACAGCGCTGAAGGGCTGAACCCATGACTTATTGGAACAAGTTCAAGTGAGCTGTTCCCAAGTAAGCAATGAATACTTTCAAATGATTCAGAGCATTAGGTGAGAATTTCCTTCTTCAAAAACACAAATTAAATATGGAAATGGTCAACAAAGAGGAAGAGTCTTTCTGATTGGCCCAAACCTTGGAGGACGGTTATATAAAAGGCCCTGAATGGAAGAACTTGCTACACTGTTGAAAACTCACCTGTGAACAGACTATCACCCTCCACACCCGATACCATGACCCTCTGCTGCTGCCTGCCTTGCTGTCAGCCTAGCTGCTGCAGGACCACCGGCTGCAAGACCACCTCTTGCTGTGAATCCAGCAGCTGCCCTGAGTCTGTCTGCTGCCAGCCTTGCTGTCCCCCAAGTTGCTGCAGCATACCCTGCTGCCAATCCAGCTGCTGCTCTGAAAGGACATGCTGCAAGACCACCTGTTGCAAGCCAACCTGTGTGAGCATCTGCTGCAGCACACCCTGCTGCCCGCCCTGCTGCTGTGAGCCCAGCTACTTCCAGCCCAGCTCCATAAAGATCAGTTGTCAACCAACTTGCTGTGAAATCAGTTGCTGCAAGAATACCTGTTGCAAAACTAATTGTGTGACCATTGGTTGCAGCCAGCCCTGCTGCCAGCCCTGCTGCTATGTGCCCACATGCTGCTGTGTGCCCACATGCTGCCAGCCCTGCTGCTGTGTGCCCACCTGCTGTCAGCCCTGCTTCTTACAGCTCTGCTGCCAACCAACTTGCTGTGAAACCACCTGCCGCAAGACCACCTCTTTTAAACCAACCTGTGTGAGCATCAGCTGCAGTACACCCTGCTGCCAGCCCTGCTGCTGCTGACCTGCTCCACAAAGGAACATCTGCACTGCCATGCTCTGAGGAGAGCTGATGTGACCTAGCAACACAAAGCCACATCTCAACCTTTGCTGACCACCTTCATCTTCTCACCAGGAAACCTGACCAATGTAAACTCCTTCTTAAGTGTGGGAAATGCTTTGAGGAAGAATGGAGTCCTCACCCTCATTCTCTTCATCTCCAGAGATTATTGGTCCTGTGCCATCTTCATGGGGGCCTGATGTGAATGTCTGGAATCAGTTTAAATTCTGAACCAAGATCTTTATATCTCTCACCAAATAACAAAACACTTCCCCAAAAATAACTTTATTTAACCAGTTATCTTCTCAACTCTGTTTTTTCCTGAATTTCCCCAGAATTTTGTGTACTGTTTTCTTCTTTCTGCTCACTTATGAGTTGTGTCCTTGGAAGCAAGCTATTTTAATAAAGTCAGTGCTATCATCATTCCATATTGTCTATCATTTTATTATGATAAATCACTTAATGAAAAATCCACAGAATCTATAGACTTTCAAATGCTCAATGTGATGCCCTGAATCAGCAACACTTGCATGATGGTGAACAACACATCCATGGAGAGTTTCTAGCTGGAATAATTGAAAGTTAATACCCAGTGATTGCCATCTTCCTAGTTCCTCCACCTCAGCTCCCATAAACCAAGGGTCTGTTCGCTCCTTTGCTGTCTGACTTTTATAAATGTCACTTGGATGGAATCATTTAAAAACAGTGGCTTTTATGTCATATTTTCTTTATCTATTTACTTCTCACATCTTATCAGTTCTTAATGGGATTGGCATAAACTTAGGAGTGTCAATATCCCTCTAGGACTCTGATTTCATGTCATTTGCTAAAAAACCAGGGCATATGAGATTATTATGTTGAATGAAATAAACCAAATTCAAAAAGACAAATTATCAAGCAAGTGTTCTCACTTGGAAACCAAGATTTTACACATAAACTTCAAATCCTGTAGATTGTCTGTGAGAAAGGGGGTCTACTAAGGGGAAGGGCTGTGGAAGAGCAAATATCATATAAGTACATGAGTGCATGATATACTTAAAGGGATTTCATAGATTCACTCACTACATTCAATAAATTGGCATGATTAAAAATAAAAATTTATATTAAAAAAATTCTGATATCAATGATCTTGAACAAATATCCTGAGATATGGCTACGAAGTCATAATGTCCCTTTCCTTTTACTTTTTTGAGGAGTCTTTGTAATGATCTGCACAACTGCTTTTCTTCACATTCCCATTGCTGTGTACAAGTACCAGTTTCTGGGGCTAGAGAGATGGCTCAGCTCTTAAGAGTACACATTGCTCTTGAGAGCACCTGGGTTCAGTTCCCACCATCCACATAGCAGCTCACAACCACCTGTAATTTGGGTTCCAAGACATCCAATGACCTCTTCTGGCATCTCTGGGCATGTGCTATACATACATATATAATACATACATACAGGCATACATACATACATACATACATACATACATACATACATACAGGCAAAATATTCGTATATATAAAATTTAATAAATATACGTATATATGTGCAGTCAAAACAATCATGCACATAAAATATAATACATAAAACTTTTTCAATTTTTTAAAGTTTGAAGAGTCCCAATCCTCCACACACTTGTCAACACCTTTTGATCTCTTCTATTTCTGATACTAGATAGACAACATTCTAATACTGCAATTGTTATACACTCAAATAATATTCCAGTGCTTGGTGATATCTCATGGCTAATAGGAAAAATAAAGGAGACAAGGAAGGAACCATGTCCCTCTGCTGTGCTGTGCTGGGCAAGCCCTGTCTCAGTGCAGCTCCCTGGACTCTCCTTCCCACCACCTGCACCAGGGCCTGCTCTCCTCATCTCTGAGTTACTCTCCTTTCCACAAAATGGCTCTGTAGCTACTTGTGTTATTCTCTTTAAACAAACAAACAAAAAGCAGAATCTCTCTGTGTAGCCATGGCTGTCCTGGAGCTCTCTCTGTAAACCACCCTGGCTTAGGAACTCAAAGAGATCTGCTTGCCTCTGCCTCCCAATTACTGGGATGTAAAGATATGATGATGCACACTTGGATACCTGTGCTACTTTTAAGTTGTGCCCTCCGACAGGGATTCTGAACATCTTAATTTCTGTGTTGGGCACCTGGATGTGCAGTTTTAATGACAAGATTTTCTTACTTAGTGTAAATTTTTGCTACCATTTAAAACCCTCTCAAACCCAGAAAAATGTCTTTTTCTGGAACCCAGAGTTCATGATTTCATACAAGACACTTCTCTAGCCAGCCATGAAGACATCCAGGATCCTTTGCCTATTCCTAGGAAACAGAGTACAGTAGGAATCACAAGTTAAAAGGGCTTCTGCTCTAAAAGACACCGTGCTGACCTGAAGTCCACCCTGAGATTCATTACCATCCTATTATACACCTCCATAACTAATTCCTGCCTGCCTACATCACCACCAGCTGGCCAGCTTTCAACCCAGACTCAAGCCAGGTCATAGGAGAGTTAAAGGAATAGGAAGTACACCAACACTGGCTTCCCACCCTGAATAGTTCAAGGATGATGTTCTTGTTCATTATTTAAAATCCTTCTCTGTCTCCCCTGACCCACAGGAGATCCTTTCATCCTTCATTTATATAAAAAGTTGTTTGTCCTGTCATTTCTCCCTTCCTGTACTCTGGCCAAGGATGAGGTTCAAAGCTCAGTGGTATCGTAGCTTTTCCCATGACTCCCAAAGGAATAAGAAGACCTGGTTTGGTGTCATGCTGGTGGCTGTGTCAGAGTAACAGTGGATGGCAATTGAAGTTTGAGATGTCAGCCCATCAGAAGGAAACTCTCCAATGGGTCAATCTCAGTTAGGCAAGGCTCTGAGACCACAGACCCTGAAATGTCTTTTGCTTCTGCTGTGCCTTTACATGCTTGTTGCTACTGTCTTTCTCTGGTATCTGGCATGGTGTGAATGGGTGTGGGGAGATCCCCACTGCCTGTGGCATAGTGTGTTTATCTCATGGAAACATCCCATTCTACTGGGCATTTTTACCTATGAGTTTTCATGAAAATTGTATTTCTGTAAATTGTACTGTCAAGTTGATAATAATAATAATAGTTTATACAGAGTTTTGATGAATAAATATAAATACAAGGAAATGTTATACTGCTAGGGCCTATGAGTTAACCCTAAGGAGCTGCATTAGATCAAAGTCCAAGTGATTTCCGATGATTAAGGAAAACAATTGAGTCCTCCAGGAGTCAGGCTGACTGTGATTTTCTTAATGCACAAAAGATGCAGTCATGGGTTTCAGTGTGCACCATTAGCTGAAACAAAGCTTCAAAATAACTTCAGGTTAAACCAGACACTTTACTAATAGTTTTAAGATAAATAACCCCAGAAAACAATCTAAACTCCACAAGGACACATAGCTGAGCTTCCTGATTCATTAGGCTAGGGTCAAAAATGCACAGTAGCCCAATTGTTGCTAGCTGACATACTTTCTTTGCCAGGTCTGGTTGATGATCAAAGGTGATTATTAATTCCTTGTACCTATTCCTGACCTCAGTTTTCTGATACAAAAAAAAAAAACTATTGATGAATGGGTGTATATCCTAAGATTCAAAGTTCAACTGACTGACTGTTTTATATGTATAAAATTTTAGATTTGTGACTCCTTTAAGATTCCTTATAAAATTACCTTTCAAGGTAGATAATAAGGTGATTGATTCTTTCTTTGTAACTGCAATTTCTAGCCTGCCAATACAAGCACTGGTTGAGAAAAAAAAATGCTCCTTGTTTGCCCATGTTCTATTAATCTGTAAAAAGTTACTTAGATATATTTTATGTGGATTATCAGAGTGACTCTGTTTTTAATCATGTAAGGGAGATGTAAAACATGATTTTACCTGTATTCATCATAATCATTTACTTGAAAAATAGAATGTAATCTCGTTATGATCCCTATATTTCCCAAAAGATTTTATTGGGGTATTGTGGTGGTATTGTGTTCCCCAAAATATTGTGCACACTAATAAACTTATCTGGGGTCAGAGAAGAGAACAGCCACAATATTAAACATAGAGGACAGGCAGTGGTAGCACACACCTTTAATCCTAGCATTCCAGAGACAGAAATCCCTCTGGATCTCTGTGAGTTCAAGGCCACATTGGAAATAGCCAGGCGTGGTGACACATGCCTTTAATCCCAGAAAGTGAGCCTTTAATCCCAGGGAGTGATGGCAGAAAGCAGAAAGGTATATAAGGCATGAAGACCAGGAACTAGAAACATTTGGCTGGTTAAGCTTTTAGGCTTTTGAGCTACAGTTCAGCTGAGATCCATTCTGGATGAGGACTCAGAGGCTTCCAGTCTGAGGAAACAGGATCAGCTGAGGAACTGACAAGGTGAGGTAGCTGTGGCTTGTTCTGCTTCTCTGATCTTCCAGCATTCACCCCAATAACTGGCCTCAGGTTTGATTTTATTAATAAGACTCTTTAAGATTCCTGCTACAGGGTATATATGGTGTATATATATAGAGAGAGAGAATCAAAGAAAAACTGAGCAGAATAAAGAAGGAAAGTACCAAGAGAGTATAAGTGTCTTTTTCCCTCACCCCCTCAGATAGAAAAGTCTAGTATGCACTGATGCTGTGGATTTCCCCATGAGCCCTGTGTTTCCTGGAGGCTGCTCCCCTAGGCAGCAATAGTGTGAGAGAATAAAAATCCTTCTATTCTATCCCTTCATGACATGCACTAAAGCCAGTTATGAGTTTATCTGCCATACAAGTCAAGATTTATGAATGTATCAATGTATGAATGTTTGCCTACAGGTTTTATGTGCACCATATGAGTGCAGTGCCCACAGGGGCCAGAATAGGGCATCTGATCCCCTGGGATAAAGTTACAGACAGTTGTGAGCTGCCATATGGGTGCTGAGAAAAGAATCTGGGCTCGCTACAAGAACATCCAGTGCTCTT